CGGGCCGGGAAAGCCGCTGGAAAAGAACAGCCCGCCTTGCTGCCCGGCGGTGCGATCGCTGCAGGAAAGGTTGAGCTTTTCACGCGCCTTACCTGGGGTGAGACTTGCGGTGCCACTGTGCTGTCGGTTCTTCTCTTGCAATCACAGAAAACGGTGATGGTACTGATACTTCTAGATCATGATATAACGTTAAAATCAATTATTTTTCCATATTTTGAAAAAAAAAAAAAAAGAGTTCAGAAAATATTTGATGTCGGAAGAACACCGTTGAGTTGATCAGGGCCCTTTTTCCCCTCCTTTCCCCTCCGGTGCATGGCACTGACTACAGAAGATCCTGGGCGCCCAAGCGCTCTTCAGTCATGGCAGCCCGCATCACATTCCTTGTTTGCAGCCTTTTCCTCTTCAAGACTGTTTGTCCCGTATATAGGTCAACTATTTGTGTTTCGTTTCCAAATGTTTTTCTACTCTCAGGAGCTGCCAAGTGCACCGAAAGCCAACTAGCCTGAGACAAAAGAAAAACAAATAGACCAGTGCATCCGCCTTACTAATTTTGATGCTCTATATCAACTTCTTATGTTGTACCTTCAAGTTCCATAGATTTATTCTTTGTAGTATTTGTATTACGTGTATCTGATTCTGTGTTTTTCTATTTGGTGCTAAAGTTTTAAGTGGTTTAAAATGCTGTCACTCCATAGGTGAAAGTCTTCTTGAGCTGATGTATTCACTACATTTGGAAGCTGTACAGTCATTAGCTTCTTAGCTGCGCTGCTTCCTGATACTGAAGAGTCTGGGATTTTTGGTAAGAGCATGACTGTGTTGCTATTTTAAACACTAAAACTCGTTTGTGGAGGGCTGTGCCTCTGTGTCCTGTCTCTGACAACAAGGATGCTGGAGAGAAGGCTTGTAGATGACCCTGAGTGCTGGAGTACCTGGACTTCTGACTTGTCTGTCTTTTGGTGAACCTTTTGCTCCAGGGCAGGAATGTGAAACTGGACTTCAGCAGCTGTGTGTATTTAGTGGGTTCTTAACTGTATCAAAATGGGCTGGGGGGCAAGAAGGGGGAGTTGGAAAAAACTTTTGTATTTGATATGCAGGTTCTCAAAATGCTCCTGTTGTTCCATAAGATTCTGAAAGATAACCTAGGTACAAAACAAGTCTAATTCTTTAATGTTTTTACTGTACAGTTCATGTAGACTGTTCAAAATGAATGAACATCCTAAAAAGAGGAAAAGGAAGACTCTGCATCCTTCTCGTTACTCAGGTCAGTCTGGAGCTTGAGTTTGGTACACTTTAGTAAGTTAATATTTTTTCTCAGAAGTAACCACTTGTGCCAAGACTTGGAAAAGCAGTGACACAAAGGGTGGGATGAGAAATCTTGGCTTGAATGGGCAGCACCCACTCTGCAGGCTCCTTTGTTGGGCCACCTTGAGCCAGTGCACCTGAGTGATTTGTTCTGTGCTCCTGCACATGGGGGAACTGGCTTTAGCTGCAAATGAAGCTGCAAATTCCTGCTTCCACAGAGGGGAGGAATTCTGTAAAAGTTGGGGTGGGGTGGGGTGGGTAGAGAGGAATGTACAGCACTGAACAGACCACACACTTGTCAATGTCCTCAGTGGGAGCAGAAACTCCAAACATCAGGGCAGCAGCTGGAAGGTGTAAATCACAACAGGAATTCTTCCAAAACAACAAGTAAAAATGTGAAAAGAGTTTTGATGAACATGAAGTACATTTGTAGCTACAAGACATGAGTACTTAAACTTTTTTGTTGATGTTTTGGTTTAGATTCTTCAGGTGCAAGCAGATACATAGACAACAGTGGGATTTTTTCTGACCACTGCTATAGTGTCTGTTCCATGAGACAGCCAGATATAAACAGAGGTAAGATTATGTTTTGGGGTCTTGTTCTGCAGTTCTTTAATGTCCTATTCACAGAAGCAAATAGGATACACAGTATATAGCAGGTGATTTCCATGTCCTTGTGATCTGATGGGCCTTAGACTGGTGAGAGGTTGTTCAGTTGTTACAGCTGAAATACAGTTTTCAAAATAAAAACAATGACAACAAAAGACCCTTCAATTTTACATTTATAATGGTGATTAAATGACTTCCAATACTCACTACCTAGGTAACAAAGTTGGTGAGTTCAGATGGAAATTACCAACAGTTGCATTGAATTGTACTTGTACCTGGCAAAACAAAATGCCTTTTTATAAAACATCCAATAGTGGGTGGAAGCTTAGCAGAGTAAATGTGATGGTGGATTTTTAGTCTATTCATTTTTCTTTTCACTTTAATAATTAACCGTAAAGTCTCCAGAAGTTTCAGAAAGTATCATATTTAAAATGCAATGTCCAGAAATATTGAAGAATATTTTTTGAGTCTTTTAAATGAAATGTTTCATTTAAGGATTTTAAGTTTTCTTCTGTATAATCAGCTGAGTATTTTCAGTAGTAAATTCAGTATTTTCTGCTGACATCTTCTGGACAGATTTGTTACTTTTTGAATTCTTTTGTTTTTCTCTGCATGTATGGAAATAATTTTCAAGGTATTTGTTGTCAATTTTTTTAAATGTAGGCTATGATGTGCTTAGTATATAAAGATAAATTTATGCAAGTGAAATAAATAAATAGTAAGGAAGATCTATGACTAAATTCAGGAATCAGGATGATGCTGGTGTGGAGAAATGACAAGGGAATGCTTGCCTTGCCTTTGCAGGTAGATTCCACAGTCCTGTGCAGAGCCTGGACACGGATGATGACGGCAGTCCCGTGCACGCCGGGAGCTCCCACTGGAGCGGGGCACACTCAAACGCTGGCATGCACTGCACAGACCCGAAAAAGAAGGATAAAGGTAAAGGTCAGTGTGTTTGGGGCTGAGAGGTTGGAGAGCCCAGCTGCTCCTGGCTGTTCGTGTAACTTCCTTGCTTTGACAGAAATGGTGAGGAATTTATATTTTCTGGTATTGCTTTGTTAGCTGATAATACATCATAGGCTGGCAGGGGAGAAATAACTGGTCTTTGCATTTGAAAGCTGCTGCAGCTGACTGAAAAGTTAAAGATGGGCCCAGGTGTTTTGTAGTGGGTTTTTTCAACCTTCTATTACGTATTTCCTCCTGCAGATAAAGGTACTAACAATGGAATGTGCAGAGACTTATGTGACTCACCTATATTCAGTGACAGCCCCACAGAAGAAGAGAAACCTCTAGATATCCAAACTGTAGAAATTTCTACAACAGAAGTGAATGCTGTAGAAGTTCACGATATAGAAACACAGACTGTGTCACCTGAGAAGCTGGAAGCTGAGGACCTTGAGGAAATCCCTCTGGAGACCTGTAAAATCTTTGAGAAGAACCAGGCTTTGAATATCACAGCTCAACAGAAATGGCCCTTGCTGAGAGCCAACAGCAGCGGCCTGTACAAGTGTGAGCTCTGTGAGTTCAACAGCAAGTACTTCTCTGATCTGAAGCAGCACATGATCCTGAAGCATAAGACATGTACAGACACTCACGTCTGTAAAGTTTGTAAAGAAAGTTTCTCCAGCAAAGTGCAACTCATTGAGCACGTAAAACTCCACGAGGAGGATCCGTACATCTGTAAATACTGCGATTACAAAACGGTGATTTTTGAGAACCTGAGTCAGCACATAGCAGACACCCACTTCAACGACCACCTGTACTGGTGTGAGCAGTGTGATGTGCAGTTCTCCTCCAGCAGCGAGCTGTACCTGCACTTCCAGGAGCACAGCTGTGACGAGCAGTACCTGTGCCAGTTCTGTGAGCACGAGACCAACGACCCCGAGGACCTGCACAGCCACGTGGTGAACGAGCACGCGTGCCGGCTCATCGAGCTGAGCGACAGCTACCACAGCAAGGAGCGGGGCCAGTACAGCCTCATCAACAAAATCACTTTTGACAAATGCAAAAACTTCTTTGTGTGCCAGGTGTGCGGCTTTAGGAGCAGGCTGCACACCAATGTCAACAGGCACGTAGCTATTGAGCACACCAAAATATTCCCTCATGTTTGTGATGACTGTGGGAAGGGGTTTTCAGGTATGTTGGAATATTGCAAGCACCTAAGCTCTCATTTATCTGAAGGGATTTATTTGTGTCAATACTGTGAATATTCAACAGGACAAATTGAGGACCTTAAAACTCATTTGGATTTCAGGCATTCAGCAGATTTGCCTCATAAATGTACTGATTGTTTAATGAGGTTTGGGAATGAAAAAGATCTTTTAAGTCATCTTCAGATACATGAGACGGTGTGATTGCTTTCTTTCCCTGTAACCAGTTTGTTTAGAATTTGAATTTATTTCCAGTCACTGGAATGTGATATTAAATACAATTTTAACAGCAACTGTACATTTCTAATGTTTTCATCTTTATATCAGCAAAGCATGTCTAGCACTTGGTGTTGTGAATTTCCTTGTCTAGGGGTTTCAGTAGGAATAATCACATTTACACTGTGGTGGATCAGATTTTGGGGGGAGGGACAGGGGGAGTAATTGCATGTTGTGATACCAGTTCTGGTGGTTATCCTGCTCTTTCATGTCTAGTGTACAGGACCAGCTCTCTTGAGTTTAAAAAGGCACAAAAACAAAGCAAATATCTAAATCTATTCTTTAATAACCCAATACTGGTCTCAGTTCCACATCCAGCTCATGTTACCTTGGGTGGCAGCAGGTCACTGCACTGGTGTTTAGCAGTAGCACTGGCCTGCCAAAGATAAGGGTGCTCCAAAAGCTCCCAGGCATGGACATCTCCAGATTCCCATACCAGCCTTCATTTCCCACCTCACGCTCCTGATAAGCTTTTTCAATTGTCCTGTTTTATTCCTGGGATACCTTTCTGACCTCACTGTTCACTTTGTTCTGTGTTTAAGTCCCATCTGTGGGACGTCCAACACACTCTTGCACATACATACTGCATGACTCCCACATGATATTCCCTTTATTTACCTTCTTCCTGTCTTTTAATGCATTGAGGAGACACACATTGCTTGGGTTTGTATTAGATCATGTTCTATAGAGTAATTGCAAAAGGAATTTGCAATGATCTGCTGAGAATGTACAAAATGAATTTCTTATATAAAATCCTAATATAGCTCTTACTGAAATTATGGATGTCACCAACCTCTTGACTAGAGAAAACTTCTAGTAGTCTATATTATTGTAGTAATTCTGTATATTTATAATTATCTTTCCACCACTAGTAACTTGAGGAATGTTATTTGAACTCTGTAAATTTAAAAATTTTATATACGGGCTTAAAAGACTGGTACATTACACAATTTTTACTAATGACTCTCAAATTATTTCACACATTTGTTTATATAATACAAAGCACAATTCTACCTTTGTAATCATTGGAAGTGAGTTTTTACAGTTCATTCTGTAGCTCTATATCTGAGTGGATACTTGGACAGATAAAAGAAGAGTGGGGTCACTTAGATCATGCTAGACACCATGGTGAAAATACTCATAATAATTACTAGTGGAGTTTACATTTCTTTCTTCATTGATTGTAAATTTGTAATGTAAGATTGTCTAATGCAAGCTTTGTATAGAGATAATTAATGTATCAAAAATTTCTTGTTCAGTGAGGTTTGGTGTTACCAGCTTCAAGGCATGCAAGGGTCTTTGGATTTGATTTTTAAAGCCAAGGGTAAAACTTGGCTGAATGTTATTGATTAATGGAAGTTCTGATTTCCAGAGAAGTATTTCTGGAAAATCTATGAACCACTTGGTGGTAATTTTGTTGTGAGAGGCAAGACCATTTCTGTCACATTGAAATGCTGATATACTACTAGATTTTGTGTTTTGTCATTGAAAGGGCAACCTGAGAGTGTCTTGCTGTACTTTATTACTCCCTTGTATAGAGAATGACAGTATCTGTGGTAGAATTGCTGATTTCCTATTTTGAACACATTCTTCCCTGGCTGGCTTAAAATAGTAGCAATAATATAGTTAACAAAGCACTAAGATGAATTATTTTCTATATGGAAAGTTAATTTTCCTCATATATCTGAAAGGGGGAATGCTGGTTCTCTGAAAGCTCTGCTCCTGCTGATGGCACAGAGGGGGAATGGCACAGCTGAGCTCTAGGGGAAAAGCTGCTCTGGGAGACAGAGACAAGAAGGGGAAAAAAGGCATTTAAAAATCCCCCAGAATAAATAAAGGGGCTTAAGTATATATTTGTGTAGACCAGCATTATGTCTCCAGCAGGAAAGGTGGTGTCCTGTGCCAGCACAGAGCCCTGTGACACTTGCTTGTTGACATGAATAACTTCATGGCTGTCTTTGAGTTGGGTTATTTCTGACCTCTAAAATGCGAATCAAAACAATCCCCCACAGGAATGCTGTGAAGCCAGATCATTCCAAACTAAAATGCAGTGTCTAAACAGGAAATGTATCCAAGGTCATTTTAGGTTGGATTTTATAAATGAGGGACTAATGTTAGTATTTTCTTTTTACTGTCAGGTAGTAAATGAAAGTGTACAGGAATAGCATGTCTCATTTTAAAAAGGAACACAAGTACACTGCTGGCTTCCACATGATCTGCATGTTAAAGCAAGAAAGTGACTAAGTAGTAGGAACAATAGGTAATGAATAAAAAAATAGGTAGTGAAAAAATAGGTAGTGAGTCTGCGGGGAATGTGGAAGGCTGAAAGGCATGGCTGAGCGTGCCAAGGACAGGGATGACATTTGGGTTATTTGGGTGAAGTGGCAGGTGAGTGCTCTGACCTGGCCACTGATCCGTCACCCTGGAGCCCGAGCAGCTCATCTCAGTCCGAGAGGCAGAAATACACTCTAGGGACCAGCACTGTGCCAATATTTATTATTTCTCTCCAAGGCAGTAAGTATCAAATTCTGGTTGTTCACTGGTACCTGCAAGGTTCAGCTGTTTCAGGAACAGCATTCCAAGCAGAAACTATGCAAAGAGATTGTCTTTAGTAGTGTTTTATATTTGTGAGAGATCTGTATTTGATTCTTTGCTTTTCAGACTTTTGAACCCTTTGTTTCGATGTGTGAACCCTTAGTTTTGAGGAGTATTTTCCAACCTTAACAAATACCTGTGTATCAGATTCCTGGACCATATTTCTTATTGAGCAAAAGACCTTTTTTATGTGAAAGACTGTTGACTTCAAAACAAAGTTTACATGCCACAAACTATTGCAAGATCTTAAAATACAGCGGATTAATAATCCTCAAATAACGTGTCCTCTAGAATGCTGTTGTCGCCGATTTTCATGTTGATTCTCGTCCCGTACCAAATGCATGAGGGTACCGGTGCTGTTTAACTCCTGCCAGCCCGCGGCGCTGTCACCGTGCGGGCTCTGACCGAGCCCGGTGCTGTGGGGGATCTCCGGGGATGGTCCCGGTAC